GAATTTACCAACTAAACTTAACGATTTACCCCAGCCCAATTACCATAACAAATACCCGTACAAACTCGCTCTACTCCGACCTACTCTCATCCTGCCACTCATATAGACACATATACTTTACAAGTTACCAGACCCGTGAAGATCCGGGATAGAATAGGTCTTCAGTAACCCATGCTCTCCGTAAAAAGCGACTGTGCTTTTCGTAAAAGGCGACTAACGGGATCGGGTGGTCAGGCTCGGTGATCATGACTTGGTTGATGCATGTCATCGAATCCCAATTGATTATTTACAGACCGCGGTCATATAGCTGGAATATTGCTGAGTGCGGCGTAAAACATCAAACAAACAAAAGTTACCACACTCTACACATTGCCCACTTAAAAAAGCATTATCTAGATCTACAAGGCTCGCATTTTGGTAAACCTACACATTTTATTGTGCTATGCATATTAAACAAAACAACGTTTGCATGTTAATGTGCTATAGCTGTTTTATAGCATTTTATACAAATATGTAAAACAAGTGACAAAAGACTTATAAATGAATTTGTATATATATTTATACATTCTTATTGCTATTTCTTTTGTGCTGTTCCATTCCACTCATGGGTAATAGGGGCGGTGGGGTAGCCTAGTAGTTAAATATATACCTCTTATTTTAATTTGGGGGCACGGGTGGCCCAGTCGTCTAAGGCGCCGCGATTCGCTGTGCAGAGTTGCGTCCCTTGGGCAACCCAGAAACCTATGATTGTGGGTTCGAATCACGGTTTGCCCCGATTATGTTTCTAGGTTTGTCAGCACCATACCCGTGCTCGTGGGTTTCACCGAAGTGGTAAACGCCTGAGACCTGCATCACTTCGGGCTTTCCTCCCACATTAAGCTGACACGCCGTGATGTAACTGGAATACTGTTAAAAGCGGCGTTAAACCAAACTCACTCACTAACTTATTTTAATTTGGACCCGAGCGCTTTTACTCGAGGTTTCAAATGTATCAAGAAGAGGTTTCTACTCTACAGTGGGACTACATCAAATGTCACAGTAGGTGTATCTCCATTCTGCCATGACGGCAACAACGCATTGAAAACGGCGCTCTCCTGTAACGCGAAACAGCACTGGGTACAAAGGACCGCTATCTTAGAACATTCCGAAAATGTGAGGTGAGGTGAAATGGGGTTTAACGTCTCCTCCAAGATTATTGCACTTATATAGCGATGTGCATGCACGTGTGTGTGTGTGTGTGTGTGTGTGTGTGTGTGTGTGTGTGTGTGTGTGGTTGCTTTTACTTGTCCGGATTGATGCCGAGTTCATAGCGCTAGAGTAAAGAGTACACAGTATACGGACTCCGAGCCGACCAGTCCTTGTTTTAGCCCCTTAATGCCGCGCGGCAGACAGGGTAACATCAAGTACCATCTTTTATCGTCATTTTGTATGACGCGACCTTCCGCCCTTCGGACGGGCGCTTTACCACTAAACTGCGGAGGCGGTCCATCAGAATAGAGTGAGTCTGATATTGATATTTTACATAGCGGTGACTACCCAGACAACTGGTGTCAGGGAAGTTAACTAATCTGCTAAATTGCCTTTTAACATGGAATACTGACATCTGATTTACTTACTTAGTTGTCCTGAAGATATCCAAATAACAGATTGATCAACATTTCAACTGATGGCCACACGCGGTTATCTCCCAAAACCCCTACATCCCATTTCCCCTACAACCCAGTTCCCCTACAATTAGTTAAAACAACACGCGGCATTTACCTGTCTGGTATTATGAACTCACCTAAAGGAGAGATTAAGGTCTGGAGTAGAGGTAGTAGAAATGAAAGGGGTAGAGCTTTAGGGGACTAGGGGAAGTTTAAAAAAAAAAATAATGTAGGTGTAATGAAAGATGCCTATATGATGAGAAGACAATTTTTAAAAATTACAAAAATAACAATAGGAAGAAACAATTATTACACTGAGAAACTGAGATGGACGATTTACAGTTGGGATGGCTAGGTTTAGTATATAGATACTTGAAACTGACTAACATGACATCAACATGTCTGGGAAGACTCACGACAGCAGGAACCGTGATAAGGAATGCTACAGAGGACACGTGGGTTGACGCAACGGACACCACACCAGATGTACCAAGAGCTGTCGCCTTCAACGACTACATCGTCACTACCTGGGTCGACCACGGAGCACGATTCCCCCTACCACTGTGGAACCATCACGGTACAGCAGGTCCCAGGACGAACAACAACCTGGAAGGCTTTCATAACCGACTCAACCGAGGTCTCCCTCACCGACATCCCAACATCTACCGATTTGTGGAGGTAGTCAGGAAGGTGGAACAGGCAGAACGAGCTAAGATTTTACAGTGCGACTTTGGAGCAGCTCTAAGAGGCAGGAAGAGAGTGTACAGAGAGATGGAGAACCGTCTTGAATAGACGAGTTGAATAGAGAGGTGAAATCCCCAATGCAGTTTCTAGATGCGGTTGGCCATTTCCTCAGGCTGGGATAAAGAGTGAATTGAACATTTGAGATGAAATTTATTATAATGTATTATGAATTTTGAAAAATGAACATTTTGTTATAATGTATTATGAATTTTGAAAAATGAACATTTTATTATAATGTATTATGAATTTTGAAAAATGAACATTTTATTATAATGTATTATGAATTTTGAAAAATGAACATTTTATTATAATGTATTATGAAATTTGAATATTATCGTAATCGTAATTTAATATTTATCTCAATCTATTCGTGTTTCTTGGGTTGTTCCATTGTATGAAATAGGTCATAGACTAGGGATTAGCAGTGCCATGGACCGTGAACTTTGTTGTCTTAAGCTGTAGGGGAAATGGGATGTAGGGGTTTTGGGAGGTTACCCCACACGCCTATCGAGCAGAGATGTCTTCTAATTAGTGAATAGGAATTTATAATATTTCTTTAAAAGTTCTTTATCTTAATCTGAAATGATATAACGGGAACGCTAGGCTTGCATTATGTTCAATGAATATCCCCAAACTATCGAAATACGATAACGTTTTTTTTATATTTAAAAAGTCAACAAAACCATTATTATGAGACCGTCCAATCAGTTGGAACTAAAAAGAAACATAGGTTGCATGATCATAATGCTTACAGTATTCCATACATAATAAGGACGAGTACAATGACGAAATTCTCAAACAAAACCCTGCTAAATTTAAAAGAAAGCTGTAACTGCTGATTTTGAAAATATTTTTTTGATCGGGGTAGTGGTAAAACTTCACCCCGTAACACTGCTTCGAGATCTTTTTTCATAAATCATAACCTACATGGAAATATTTACAATGGATATGTTTGTAATAATTATGATAAATTGATTTAGCTCATGCAGTGTTTCATTGTAAGCTAGTTATTATTCACATTGGCGTATGTTTGGGGTGAATATAAATAATGTTCATAAATTGTATTCATAATGCGCCACATCCACACCCTAGAACATGAACGAATCACGAACAATCCTATCAACGTGAGTGAGTGAGTGGGGTTTAACGCCGCTTTTAACAGTATTACAGTTATATCGCGGCGTGTCAGCTTAATGTGGGAGGAAAGCCCTAAGTGATGCAGGTCTCAGACGTTTACCACTTCGGTGAAACCCACGAGCACGGGTATGGTGCTGACAAACCTAGAAACATAATCGGGGCGAATCGGGATACGAACCCACAATCATAGGTTTCTGGCGTGTCCGAAGGGACGCAACTCTGCACAGCGAATCGCGGCGCCTTAGACGACTGGGCCACCCGTGCCCCCCCCCCCCCCCCCCCCCCCCCCCTTTTAACGTGAATGACACTGTTTGTTTGTTGTGTGACGCCGCATTCAGCACTGGATGGCGGTCTGTAAATAATCTAGTCTGGACCAGACAATCCAGTGACATCATGAGCATCAATATACGCAATTGGGAAACGATGACATGCATGAACCAAGTCAGCGAGTCTGGACACTGATCCCGTTAGGTGTCTATTACGACAAGCCTGGATTACTGAAAACCAATTCTAGTCCGGATCATAACGGGTTGAATGGTACGGGTATTATATTAACATAACGACATAAACTACTATGAAGAGCATATATATGGACCAAAGGTCGCTTGTGCTTAGATCGACCGCCTCCTCGGTCTAGTGGAGAGAGCGTCTGCCCGGAGAGCGGTAGCCTGGGGTTCGATCCGTTGGTAGCATCATACAAAATGACATTAAAGATGGTACTTGTTGTTACTATGCATAGCGCTCTACATCGAGAGGATAAAACCAGGACTGGGATGCAAGGAGTCAGTATGCTGTGTCTGAGTGGGGTGCGGCAAGGTACCCAGTGTGCTAGTACTATAAAACCGAACTAGTGCACGCAAGCACACACACACACAACCTTAAAACGTGACGGTGAACCCAATGTCACCTCACCTCACCACATCGATTAGTGAATATCGTTTTGCGCTGGAGTTAGTTGCAATATTCTTGCATAACATGGCGGCATAGAATAGATCGAGTTTGAACCATACAGTCTCATTGACTGTAACCACGAGCAACGACTCTCTCAATCGGGATATGCTGGCACACAATGAGTCAGCTCACACGTTTTTACCACCCGCTCCTTGTGTGGTGGATTCTGTTTGGTTGGTTTGTTGTTTAACGCTGCACTCAGCAATATTCCATCTATATGACGGTTTGTGGATTCTGAAAAGGAGTAGCGGGGACTGGTTGGAGATATTCTGAATATGAAATTGGTTTGTATGACTTCTCCACTACAAACATAAACCGATACCAAAGTGTGATTTAATAAACGTCAACACATCACTATAATATGAACCTGAAAACAAGACATATGTTGTTTACTCATTATTGATTATTTCAATTGTAATGCAAAGCCTAAATAAAACTGTTTGAAAAAAAACTACAAATAATAAACCATCTATTAATTTTTTTTTAAAGAGATTGTATAGTAATGTAAGAGAAAAAAACATATTTACCTCAAAGGATTGAACAGACTTTTAACGAATAAATACATTTTATTTCACAAAACGTTCAGCAGGTAGAAGTGAGTTATTGCCAAGATATTTATCATGGTATGCGAGTCGTGGTGTGTGGCTTTGTCTGTCTCTGGGAATAATGTCATACAGACACGTTCCCTCCGTGAATAGCTTCACAGTAATCTGAACTGTATTAACCACATTACAAAAGAGTAATAGAATTCAAGATAAGATCGATGGTCTCGTTAAACAAACTAGCGACCATGCATCCCTCTGTTGTCCTCTGTGAACTGACTTTCTGGTCTGTCTATTCTTACAACAGGCTGAGTTAATGACATACGTGGGCCCGGCTGGTACAACTCGCTGTGTAATTCACCGTCTGTAACCAACGTGGTTTCTTCAGTAAAAGAAAATGCCGCACAATACACGTGATTGGCATTCAGGTCTTATTAGCTGTGTTAAACTCATCAAGGGTCAACACATTTGATTTAAGTGATTCTTTCTTACAAGTCCTTGGTTGGACTTGTCAAGGGTCAACACATTTGATTCAAGTCATTTTTTCTTACAAGTCCTTTGTTAGTCTCGTCAAGGGTCAACACATTTGACTCAAGTCATTCCCAAAAATGTAAACTGAAATAGAACAACGTGCCTTTGTCAATGTGATGTTTTTTGTCGTTGATAATAATAGTTTGGCAAAAGTCACTAACTTCAATGTTAAAACCATCGAGAATGCTAGAAAATGCTTTTTGTCGGTTGATAAAGGATAGACCTTTTCACAAACTGTTGCAATTGAATATCGAGTAACCATCAATCTACTTACCTGTGGTTTGTAGTATTTCAGTCACAAGAAGTCCAAACGATAAGTTTACAGAAGAAATATTCGAAACGGCAAGTTCAGATTTAAGTCAAATGATGGAAGTCTGAAACGGGACTATGCGCATGTGACTCCGTAAAAAACTAAATATAAAATAAAATAATAATAATTGCATAAATTATATATTTTTCGATAGGTAAAGCATCCAATCCACAAAGAGTCATTTTTGAGTAAATTCTAGATGTGCATCTTCTAAAATAATAAATTGATGCTTATCTTTTTGATGAAACTGCTCCCTGGATGCATGTTGCATCACACTTGCATTGTCATAGCCATGGTACACGACATGGAGTCATGTAGTAGGAAATGTAGAAAAGTTCTTTACACTTGAGAGAGATAGAGGGAAAGCATTTATAAGCTTAGATAGCGTGTATTAGCAAACTGCCCAAGCTCTGGAGCTTTCATACCAAGCCCAACATGGGTACAATGTGTGAAGCCCATTTCTGGTGTCTCCAGCCGGGATATTGCTGGAATATTGCGGATTAAAACACAACTCAATCACTATCATACCAGGCATACGGTGTATTTAATAAAACAAATTCGTGACCAACTCGTGTTATTCCGGGACAAGCCGAATAGCGACTCGTGACCCTCTCGTGGCCATTTTTGCGACCGGGTTCCGTCTTAGCGCAAACGGGCACACCTAAAACAATTGCGTAAAAAAACTCGTTGCGTAATGGTTCACAAATATTTCCCCATAGATTATATATATTTCAGATGCAATCTAAAACACATCGGGACATGCGGAGTTATAGAGTATGATTGACCACATTTAACTGTGTCTTGGGTATAATTTTAGATGGAAGACATATGTTAAATCAAAAATTGTTTCTGAGGGATTCTTTGACGAAGAACTTAAAATCATACGCGCATTCTGATTGGTTTGTCGTGTTTTCGCACATAACATTCACCGATAGGGGGACGAGTCTTCTTGCAGGTTACGGAAAGGGGCGAGTGGTGACGAATGCGCCAAAGATGTCAAACGTTTATATCCTCCGTCGCTTTCGTTTCAAGCAGAAGCGCTGTAATATAACTGACAAGCGGCAAGCAAAGCCAACACACTCACAGCTCTCCGTAGCACAGATACCCTAGATAGAACCAGCAGTCCCCATACCAATGAGATGAATATGGTTGTAGTTGCACGGTAGGTTTTAAGCGCACTTCCGCTTTTGAGTACATCGCAAACAGAACCTGCTGGTCCGAGTTGCTCAGCTTCAAGTCCAAGTAATGCTCCACTGCCCTTCTGTATTCCTTCACAAACTGGCGAAACACACCTCTCTCGGCGACGACAAGGCCCCCTCCCACCCACACGTATTGTTTTTTGAAAATGTCTTCTGGTAGTTCATCCAAAGAATATCGAGTCACTTTATTGATGGCTATTTTTTTCTCGTCAAAGTCTCGTGGAAGAGTTAACCGGAAATTCCTCTTCCTGCCTGTGATTAACCGGAAGTAACCCACATCCAGCCACATGTAATATTTGGTATGGAAGACGTCACTCTCTATGGCTTTCTCAACACAGGCGTACTTTGCATTCTGAACACAGGGGTATTCTGGAACAACTGTATTTGGTTGGTATTTCGGATAGTTCGGGTCGGAATAAATGTCACGGACTTTGTCTAAATGGTCAAAAGCCCACAGCTGGTTCTTTTCAATCTTGATGATTTTTGTGATGTTCATCAGGTGTTGTCGCATGTCGGTGAACAGTCTGACAAACTGGTCCGAGTCCGTGTATACAACCAGTGGGTTCATGAGATGCTTGTACACCGCGGCCCACTCCAGATACAGCGTGGGGCCGAACACCGCATCTTTTCCTTTCTTGAAGTTACCAAGGTTGAAGAAAGCAGTTACTACCGTCACGTCCGGAGGTACTCGGGCATCTCCGGTAAACTTCGGATAAGATCGTAAGAAGTTGGTGTCCATTAAACATGGTTGATTCAGCATTTGCTAAAAAATAAATGTCTATTTTAATATCCAATAGCAAAATACAGCACATATATGATATTACATAAACTTGGTTTAAAAATATATTAGTTGGGTTTACTCCGATTTTGGCAATATTCACATAGCAGGAAAAAACAACATGGGCCTCACATACTCAACCAATGTGGGGTTCGAACCGGTTGACCCCGCGTGACAAGCAAACGCCTTTACCACAAAACTAGGCACCGCCGCACCAAGGGTGTCAGGATGTCAGGATCAAAGTAAGTGAGTGAGTGAGTGAGTTGGGTTTAACGCCGCTTTTAACGGTATTACAGTTATATCGCGGCGTGTCAGATTAATGTGGGAGGAAAGCCCGAAGTGATGCAGGTCTCAGATGTTTACCACTTCGGTGAAACCCATGAGCACGGGTATGGTGCTGACAAACCTAGAAACATAATCAAAGGCGACTATGCTTGTCGTAAAAGGCGACTAACGGGTTCGGGTGGTCAGGCTCGCTGACTTGGTTGATGCATGTCATCGATCCCAATTGCGTTGATCGATGCTCATGATATCAATCACTGGAATGTCTGGTACAGACTCGATTATTTACAGACTGCCGTCATATAGCTGGAATATTGCTGAGTGCGGCGTTAAACAACAAACAAACCAACCAACCAACCAACTAGAAACATAATCGGGGCGAACCGGGATTCGAACCCACAATCATAGGTTTCTGGCGTGCCAAAGGGACCCAACTCTGCACAGCGAATCGCGGCGCCTTAGACGACTGGGCCACCCGTGTCCCCAGTATCAAAGTAAGACACAAGACCACCACAAAGCTGGTCGTTTGATCCACCCTTGTTAGTGACTGAGTTTCGTTTAATGCCGCTTTGAACAGCATGTCAGTTATATAACGGCGTGTAAGATTAGTATCACTTTATGTGGAAGGAATACCACAGTGAATGAGTGATTCTGGTTTTAAGCCGTTTTCAGCAATATTCTAGCAATATTACGGCGGGGGACACCAGAGATGGTCTTCACACATTGCAAACATTCAGGGAATCGAACCCGGACTTCCGCCGTGACGAGCGAAAGCTTTACCACTAGGCTATCCCGCCGCCCCTGAAGAGCGCCCGAAGTGATGTGAATCATGCAACTGTCCAGCAACAGCGGGGAGACCAAAATAAGCTCTACACATTGTTCAACCACTGCTACTGTCCTCGAATCCGCAGCTAATGAATCAAGCGTGTATAAAATCTTTAAACTATCAATTCTTGTGAGGATGGGCGTGTTATCTCAGACTGCTGATGATTAATGTTTCTATGCAAATAGTGAGTGAGTAAGTTGGGTTTAAAGCCGGGTTTAACATTATTCCAGTCACATCACGGCGTGTCAGTTTAAGAAACCCAGGAACAAACGGCGTGATTAGAACCGGGATTAGAACCAACGATCTTAAAAAGGTTGCGGACGTGCCCAAGGGACGCAACTCTGCACAGCGAATTGCGGCTGGGCCACCTATCTCCCTTGCAAATAGTTACAATGTTAAGTAGATACACTGTTTCTTGTGCTTCTTACCTGGATCACATAGTAGACGAGGACGCAGCAGCCAAGGTACTTCAGGGGTCGAAACCAGTTTCTTTGCAACCCCATGTTCCAAGGACTGGGGAAAAGGGAAAAGAAACACACATTAGATATGAGTGAGTGAGTTGGGTTTAACGCCGCTTTTAACAGTATTAGAGTTATATCACGGCGTGTCAGCTTAATGTGGGAGGAAAGCCCGAAGTGATGCAGGTATCAGACGTTTACCACTTCGGTGAAACCCACGAGCACGGGTATGGTGCTGACAAACCTAGAAACATAATCGGGGCGAACCGGGATTCGAACCCACAATCATAGGTTTCTGGCGTGCCAAAGGGACGCAACTCTGCACAGCGAATCGCGGCGCCTTAGACGACTGGGCCCCCGTGCCCCCCATTAGATATGAGAGTATGTGATAGGGAGAGTGAGTGAGTGAGTGAGTGAGTGAGTGAGTGAGTGAGTGAGTGAGTTTGATTTCATACTTCTTTGAGGAGTGTTGCAGTTAAATCACAATAACAAACCCATAGCGACACAGGTCGTATAGATTCGTCACAACCAATGTACAGTGTTTTCTTGCAACAAATCAGGGATCTAGATAAGAGCTAATCTGGGATTCGAACCAACGATCAGCGGATCGCTGCAAAGAAAGGGACACAGCTCAACAGCATTTGAAGGCGCCTTGGACATCCGTGCTCCAAAATGGACGCTTATTGCTTAATAGGAGTGAGTGAGTTAGGGTTAACCCCGCTTTGAACACTATTTCAGTTCTATGTTTCTAGGTTTGTCAGCACAATACCCATGCTCTTGGGTTTCTCCGAAGTGGTAAACGTCTGAGACCTGCATCACTTCGGCTTTCCTCCAACATTAAGTTGACACGCCGCGATATGACTGGAATACTAAAAGCGGCGTTAAACCCAACTCACTAACCCCAAGGCTACCCCACCGGCCCGTGTGCGCCAAGCGTCACATCGGTATGTACCCAGTAATCATTACGACGCGTACACCTTCACACTGTCTCTGTGGTCGAACTGCGAGGTACTGTTGGACGATGTATGTTGATGGTGCAGAGGTGTCAGCGTCAGTATGTAGTTACCAACCGAGCCTCACTTGCTACTTGCAAACACGTGTAATCGTCACCATAGAAATACGGGCTTGATTGGAATATGCACGCACATCACGAGTTAATGCAATCACCAGCGTTCAGACTAACACTTAGTCTTTGAAAATATTTTTTCTAAAATATTGTTATTTTTTTCAAATTAGCTTCCCTCCTCCGCTGTGGAATCTAGAAACTAGACTTGGTTCAGTTTGATCTAGACTTGCCTTGGCTTTTAGAGTGAGTTAATGTTTATAGTCACATCGGCAATATTTCAGCCATATCGTGACTAAATTAAGCAATATATTAATGAAAGATTTTAGAAATATATATATATATGCTGTCATGGCGCAAGACGAACCAGCATTCAATACATTTAGTATAGCCTTGGAGCAAGGCTAAGCCGAGGGTTGCCGATGACCCAGGGAGCACGAATATTTCCTAAGGAACGAGCCGAGCCGCTTGTTGTGCGTGCCCACTTGCAGCATGGAATCTCTGAACGGCAGATCTGAATAACACCCTTCATTTTGAACGGATTACACCAGAAAAGAAGCAAACACGTGCGCAGGTAAAGAGAAAATTTCATGGTTTTAGTATGAAATGGCAGAAGATACCAACTAAAATGTGCACACACGACGGGTAATGTACTTGTACTACCACGTCAAAATCTGCATACATACGACTGGCATTATTCATTGAGATAGTTTCTATTATGTTTACTGTATGGATTTAACTCATTCGTTTATCTTAATCATCCTTACCTTTGAAAGGAGGGACACCGAAAGTCAGCAACCCTGTGATCGGGTTAACGGATTACACTAAGGCCATTGAGCAAATCACACATCTTCCAATATCTGTGTTAACGCATGACACCTTTCAGTGTCGTAACTGTCTACTCAAGCAGCAAAACATCACCAAAATGCAATGGTCAACCATGAGTCCTGACCTTTCCTTCAAAGAACACACCGGGGACATCGGGAGACGTGTTCGCCTACGTCAAAGGCCCGCTAAGTTAGCCGAACGTGACCATACAAGACTCCCTCAGATTGATTGGGGATTGATTCGGACCATGCCATTCTGTATAAACGAATGTTTGACCAATCGGGGGTGCATGACCCATTACTTATCAAGTCACTTCAAACATTCATTTTTGTAGACACCCATGTCATCTGTCTGCACCCTTTCAGTACACCGCCAACATGTTCTGTTGATTGTCATGATACACCTAGTCCTTCCTGTTTCTTATCCATCTATTGCCATCACTTAATATCTCTTTGTATTTCTGTACTCCTCTGTTATTATTTTATATCCCCAATTCCCTTTGAGAGTATATAACATTTACCTTATGTCCCTTGCTCAGATGTAATATCATTTGTTGACATCTTCTCTCATACAGACACTTCCCCGGCAACAGTCTCTTAGACGTGAGCGACCCGTGAAGATCCGGGGTAGAATAGGTCTTCAGCAACCCATGCTTGCCATAAAAGGCGACTATGTCGTAAGAGGCGACTAACGGGATTGGGTGGTCAGGCTCGCTGACTTGGTTGAAGCATGTCATCGATCCCAATTGCGTGGATCGATGCTCATGATATCAATCACTGGATTGTCTGGTCCAGACTCGATTATTTACAGACCGCCGTCATATAGCTGGAATATTGCTAAAAGCGGCGAAAAACCAAACTCACCCACCATAAGCACCGATCCTCGCAATTGAGATACGATGACAAGCATCAGGGAGCCTGACCACCTGATCCCGCTAGTCGCCTCTTACGACAAAATCATAGTCGCCTCTTACGACACAAGCATAGTCGCCTCTTACGACACAAGCATAGTCGCCTCTTACGGCAAGCATGGGTTGCTGAAGACTATTCTACCCCGGATCTTCACGTGTTTGTAAATCATATAATTCGTTTTTACTGGTATACCTCTTTCTGCTCCCATACCTAAATCCTGGGAACGAATTGACTTTTCATACTTCAACGTGTCTTTCAGTTTTGAATGCGGATTGGTTTTAGAAATTATATGTAATTATGAACAATATCTTTCTCATTTTCTGTTGAAAAGGTGATGAATTTCAATGTATATTTTGCCCAATGTTACTGATAACTTGACCTTTAGAATACACAGAATTGATAGAAATCGTTACAGTATACAGTTAGAGTTGTCAGTACTAGTCTACTGCCTGCGAGCGGTTATATTCAGTAGTGCGCGCACCTCGAACTAGGTCAGTCGCCCCAGATCAAAATGTACTTACGCTCGCTGCACATCGCTGGGACTATTAATACACTGTATACTGTCTAATTCAGCACGTAAGCCCGGGGCCCCGTCCCAAAGAGCGATCTTTGTGCTGATGCGATCGTGACACCCATACTTAAACATAGACTTGCGACAGAGCTCGCTTTATACAACGGCACCCTGTTATTACAAATAGAAATGTGCTCATTAACAAAGATCCATGTCAATATTTTATATTTTTTTAATATTATTTTGTTATATTTTATTTTATTTTTATTTTGTTATCGAACTAATAATATGTTGATGAATTCAAGTACACGTGAGTAATCACGATTCTGTGTAAATGTATCTCATTTTATACTGGGTCACCTTTAGTAAAATATCTTCTTATTAGATCAAATCACTCTTGAATACACAAAGTCACCCGCCTAAGAACTACTGCGAATTACCAGCAGATAAAAGCTTACTGCCTATTTATTTTTAAGTGACTACAGTACGGACACAGTGCATTAAAGGCAGTTTGAATGCAGAAATGTGAGAATGTTTTGTTTGTGGTTCAACGCTGCACTCACCAATATTCCAGCTATTTGACAGCGGTCTGAAAATAATCGAGTCTGGACAAGACAATCCAGTGATTGACATCATGAACATCGACCCACGCAATTGGGATACGATGACATGCATCAACCAAGTCAGCTAACGTGACCACCAGATCCCGTAAGTCGCCCCTTATGAAAAGCATAGTTGCCTTTTACGGCAAGCATGGGTTGCGGAAGACCTATTATAACCCGGATCTTCACGGATCGGTTTCGATTTTACTTATCGTGGTGCGTGTGATTTGATAAGTCGAGGGAGAGGGGTGTGGTGGGGGTTGGGGGTGTGGTGGGGGTGGTGGGGGGTAAACAGCTACAGATACAGATAATGGTATTGACGCCTGATGGTATCACGGGTCTGTAGAAATGTACATGAACCTGTTCATTGTTCATCAATATCCACATGTGAAATCGGCTATGATCTCACGACCGTTTAAACTTGAAGGAATATCATTTTGGAAAATTGTTTTTTGAACCAAAAATGTGATTTAATTACGTTGCGTGAAACAGTTTTGATGGACGATGAGGACATTCTCTTCCCAGGCTATGCATCTACCTGGTATGGCAACAACTGGGCCAATTTACACCACAAAGCACGTCGAGGGAGTATTGATTGCACTGGTCCTGGAATATTTTGATATCTGTACTTGACTACAATGAGGAAGGTATTCTTTGGCTTAAACTCATGAAGATCAGATTTTAACATATGTTGTGTGCTATTTGAGTCGTTCGGGGTCATCGCACGTGAGAGACGTTGTGAAATTTAATAATCCACTTAAAATACGGTTACATACTTACCAGAGGGGAAATTAACCGCATGTGAGCAGATACGAGTACCTGGATACCTGCGGTATATAAATGTATATAATGATAATAATAATTATAATTATAATAATAATAATAATAATAATAATAATAATAATAATTAAAGCTGCAAGCAGCAATGGCGGGCTCCAAGTTACACTGTGCACAAACGTCCATGTTCGAATCCTTAAAGGGTTTCCTTGTACCAAATCCGTCACATGTAGGCACAACTTGCAGGGTATTGCCGCTACGAAATTGGCGTGTGCTAAGTCTGTTTTAAACCCATTTCCGACATCAAACATATTCGAATCCTCAAAGGGTTTGTTTGTACCAACTCTGTCAAAAGATAGTCACCGTTTGAAGGACATTGGCGTGTTCCAGGGGTGTCCCAAATTCTAATCAAATATTACCACCAAGTGTTGTTACTTTTTCCATGCACCCAAGAACAGAAAATAAGATGCATATGATACCTAACTTCATGTAAACTTGCAATAGTTTCTGTCAACAAGCTAACAAGATATGATCTTTAAAGTAAAATTTCGGTAATTTTTTTTATCAAAATCAAAATCCAATACAACCGCAACTAAAACAGATATCCCAAAACGGCTATGAGAGTTTGCTGTGTTGTGTGTGGAGACAATTCTCAGAAAATTTGGAAGCATTTCATGCAGTGGACTCAGAGTTGTTTGCGTTTGAAGACAGGTACCCAAAAGACACTGTGAAAACCTTGAATCCAATATGGCTGCCAAACCATTTGACCAATGACCAAAGTCAAAGAACAAAATATGTCAAGCAGCTCAAGCAGCAGATACATGCAAGTTTTCAAAGTAATCTGATAAGCGGTTGCGGAGCAATAGGGCGAAATGCATCTTTAAAAACGTCTTGATTTTTAGTTATCTGCCCTTGGCTTTTGGGCCTACGGCCTTGGGTTTTTGGCGGGCACTAGTACCCAACAGTCTTCATACACATACAAAATTTGAACAAAATCGAGCCAGTGGTTATTTTGCTAGCTCTGGTACAAAAATCGGCGGAATAATAATAATATTAAATCAAACGCTAACACTGGGGCTCTTCAGCCTTACGGCTTGGGGACTCTTTAACAGGCTGTAACTTCTTTGTCAGTTGGGCTCCAGTCAAACGGATTAGCGTTCTGCGTTCGTCCGGACCCCGGGTTCCTGTCGTGCTAAACTTGTTTCCGACATCGTTCATATTCGAATCCTCAAAGAGTTTACCTGTACCAACGCCGTCAAATGTAAGGAACCTCTTGTGAGACATCACCACTACTAAATTGACATGTGCTTGGGTGTCCCAGGATGTTTTTACCAATTTCCAACTTCGACCATGTTCGAATCCTCAAATGGTTTGCTTGTACCAACGCCATCATATGTAAGGAACCGCTTGCGAGACATCACCACGCGTGTCCTAGTGTGTTCTTAACCCATGTTTGACTTCGACCATGTTCGAATCCGCATATGGTTTGCTTGTACCAACGCCATCAAATGTAATGAACCGCTGGTGAGACATCACCACACGTGTCCCAGTGTGTTCTTAACCCACGTTTGACTTCGACCATGTTCGAATCCCCAAATGGTTTGGTTGTACCAACGCCGTTAAATGTAATAAACCGCTTGTGAGACATCATGACATGTGTCCCAGTGTATTCTTAACCCATGTTTGACTTCGACCATGTTGGAATCCCGAAATGGTTTGCTTGTACCAACGCCGTTAAATGTAATAAACCGCTTGTGAGACATCATGACATGTGTCCCAGTGTATTCTTAACCAATGTTTGACTTCGACCATGTTCGAATCCGCATATGGTTTGCTTGTACCAACGCCATCAAATGTAATGAACCGCTGGTGAGACATCACCACACGTGTCCCAGTGTGTTCTTAACCCACGTTTGACTTCGACCATGTTCGAATCCCCAAATGGTTTGGTTGTACCAACGCCGTTAAATGTAATAAACCGCTTGTGAGACATCATGACATGTGTCCCAGTGTATTCTTAACCCATGTTTGACTTCGACTATGTTGGAATCCCGAAATGGTTTGCTTGTACCAACGCCGTTAAATGTAATAAACCGCTTGTGAGACATCATGACATGTGTCCCAGTGTATTCTTAACCAATGTTTGACTTCGACCATGTTCGAATCCGCACATGGTTTGCTTGTACCAACTCCATCAAAAGATAGTCCACGTTTGCAGGCCATTGCCGCTACCAAATTGGCGTGTGCCACAGTTTCCCAGAGTGGACTAAATGCCGACCTCCATATTCTAATCCGCAAATGGTTTGCAAATGGTTTGCTTTTAACAACGCTGTCAAAAATAAGGTACCGTAGCAATTGGCAATTGAGAAATGAAGAACCAAGTCAGCGAGTCTGACCACCGGATCCGATTAGTCGCCTCCTGTGACAAGCATAGTTGCCTCTTGAGACAAGCATCGGTTGAAAAAGGCCAATTCTAATCCTGGTCGTCAATGGTAGTACACATAATACTGAACAAGACTGTGGAGAACGCTTGCAAAGCCAGTGAATGGGGGTGTTTGGTAGATTTATGAGGCGCTTCCTTCAGTATTTGTACTCAAGTCTGATTTTTAACTTAAATCAAATAATACTACACCAAGCAGTGGTGCTTTCAGTATGCAACCCAGAACAAAATGAGCTACATATAGTCTCAAAGCTTCATGCAAACTTTCAATAGTTTCTGTTAAGAACCTTACAAGTTATGATCTTAAAAGTAAAATTTCGGTGAAAAAAATGATCAAAATCAAAATCCAATATGACCGCAACTAAAAAAGATATCCAAAAACGGCTATGCTTATTTGTTGTGTTCTGTATGGAGACAATTCTCAGAAAGTTTGAAAGCATTTCATGCAGTGGATTCAGAGGAGATAGTATTTGAAGACAGGTACCCCCAAAACCCTGTGAAAACCTTGAATCCAATATGGCTGCCAAACCACGTGATCAATGACCAAAGTCAAAGAACAAAAAATATCAAAGAACTAAAGCAGCAGATACATGCAAGGTTTCAAAGTAATCGGATAAGCGGTTGCGGAGCAATAGGGCGAAATACATCTTCAAAAAATACTTGTTTTTCAGTTATCTGCCCTTGGCCTTTCGGCCTACGCCCTAGGGTTTTTGGCGGGCACTAGTACCCAACGGTCTACAAACACCCACAAAATTTGAACAAAATCGAGCCGGTGGTTATTTTGCTAGGGCAGGTACAAAAATCGGCGGAATAATAAATAATAATAATAATAATAAATAATAATAATAATAAATCGAACGATTACAATAGGGCTCTACAGCCTTTCGGCTTGGAGCCCTAATAATAATTTATGTTTATATGGAGATTTGAGTGAGTGAGTTTGGTTTTAGGCCGCTTTTAGCAATATTCCAGCAATATCACGGCGGGGGACACCAGAAATGGGCTTCACACATTGTACCTATGTCGGGAATCGAATCCGGGCCTTCGGCGTGACGAGCGAACGATTTAACCACTAGGCTACCCGACCGCCCCTGGAGATTTGAATTCAAGAAAGGATAACACCGATTACATTAAGGGAGTTGATGCTCTTCCAAGGAGAGAGGATTTGGACTATACTGAAAATTCCCGTTAATCAGATTTTCTTAACGGCCTTGTTCACTGCAATATCTGTATGTTGAACAGCCTTTCTGGAGAATGAGTTACACCAAAGGGAAAACCAGTGACAGACTAATATACCAGTGTCACATCACCAACTACCTATTTTCACTTACTTCAGTGTGGAACCTATTCCACAGGTTAAAAACAGTTTTACTATTAGTATCCCTCAATCGGTACCTGGACACTCCCTTTTAAAGGCAAACATTTCTCTCTCGGGATTTAACCCGTAACTCGTGAAGGTTTGCCCGTCGTCTCTTACGACAAGCATGGGGTCTTCACGGTTTTTTTCTGTTCGGCTGCAGTCAGCAGACGAGAGGAAAACTTGACTTCACAATGTCGTCTGCAACGTGTATTCAGTTACAGTGAGTGAGTTAAAATTTAACGTCGCATCGGCACTATTTCAGCCATATAGCGACGAGACCAAGTGAATATGTTTACAATTGAGTCACAATGTCGTCTGCTACGTGTATTCAGTTACATTGTCGTCTGCTACGTGTCCAATTCATGTCTTCGATAACAATGCCGCCTGGTACATACATGTTACCTACATTCTAACTGGAATTACGTGGATCGCAAGTATAACTCAATGTAAACCACATGTGACCGTAACAATTGCCTGACCTTCATTCATCAGCTATGATTTTTCAAGCGCATTGTCACCGCTCCTCTCACGCGATGTCAATTACATTGAGCCCTAGGGCGGGTAACGAAAAGGAGCATGGAAACATGCATGTACTGACCTTGGAAAAGCTCTACATCGGATAAGCACCGTCCTGGCCAGCTGCAATGACGTTTCTACACACTGTAGACGGGCATTCACACTGGTCCAGTCAAACAGCATGAGCGGTAAATTGTATGAGTCTGTGCTGGTTCGAAGGTCGGGTGTGGGTGATTAAACAATAAATCGCTAGGCGACTGTGTAAGCTGTACCAAGTGGCTCTGCATGAGTGGACGTGAAGCCTTTTTATAATTGCCCAAGGTGTATATGAACTAACGAGCACACGTTATGCAATAGAAATCTCGTTTTCCTGGTATTCTAATGTTTCAGGTTACCCCAAAATGGCTCTACACTGGTGGGAGCGAAATCTACTTACAATTGTCCAAAGCGCAGATGAACCAACAAACATGCACATGCTATCCGCTTGAACTCTCTTCCGTATATCCTGGGTTACTTACTTTCATGAACTTTTAAATCCTGAACAAGTTTCTGATAATGAGTTTGATAAATCTGTTGCAGATTTTATCAGACATCATGATCCTCTAAATTGTGAGAAATGTAACGACACTGACGTGCTTTCAGATATGATAACAGATGAGGAAATAAAACAAGTATTGAAAACTTTAAAATTAGGTAAGGCGCCTGGATCGGATGGAATACCACCCGAGTTTTACAAATATTGCATGAATATCGCCCCCTACTTAAATATACTTTTCAATGCCATTTTAAAGACAGGGACTTTCCCTTGTGCCTCGAATATTGGCCTTATAATTCCTTTGTATAAATCTGGTGAGTCAACAAATCCTAACAATTATAGAGGAATATCCCTCCTAAATGTAATGGGAAAAAATTTACTTCTGTTGTTGAACATAGACTTAGATACTGGGCTGAAATCAACGAGATGTTATCGGAATCCCAAGCTGGATTTAGAGAGGATCATTCAACAACTGATAATATTTTTGTTTTGCAGGCGTTGTGTCAAAAGTATTTAAGAAAACCAAAACATCGCTTTTATGCCGCCTTTATAGATTTTAGAAAGGCGTTCGATTTTGTTGATAGAAAGAAACTGTTGTTTGTACTTCTCCAAAAAGGCGTTCATGGTAAAATGTATAAAGTTATTGAAAATATGTATAAAAATGTTTGTGCATGTGTTAAGATAAGTAATAGCAGATCGGATGTTTTTAACACTCTTGTGGTGTAAGACAGGGCTGTATGTTGAGCCCATTATTGTTTATCCTCTTTATTAATCAATTAGTGTCTGGCATTTTTGTTAGTGAAGTTATTGAAACAATTGAGCTGCTGCTCTTTGCAGATGATGTTGTCCTACTTGCAGACTCCGTGATAGAATTGCAAAGAAAATTAGATATATTAGAATTATTTTGCAATAAATGGGCAATGGAGGTAAATATGGAAAAATCAAATATTATTGTTTTCAGAAACGGTGGGTATCTAAAAAAAAGTGGAAAAATGGTTTTATAAATCTATGGAAATGTCAGCATCTTCACATTATAAATACCTGGGCATTATATTTTCTTCCAGGTTAATCTGGTCTAAAGCTTGTGAGACTATTTCGTTACAAGCTAGAAAGTCATGTTTTCCGTTATTTCAACTTATGAAAACTTATCCAGATATATCTTTGAAGACAATTGTTGCTTTGTTTGATTCAAAAATTGCACCAATTCTATATTATGGCAGTGAAATTTGGGGATATACACACAGAGGATATATAGAAAGAGTACAAAGTTTATTTTTTTAAAGATTTTTGAAACTGGGAAAACAAGCACCTTCAAGTGCCGTTTTGGGCGAAGTTGGCCGTTATAACCTATGTATAAATTATTTTAGCAGGTGTCTAAAATATTGGTGTAGACTTATTCGTATGAATCCGAAGCGTTACCCCTATGCCTGTTATAACATGTTACAGTCACACGATGCGATTGGGGCTTTAAAATGGGTTTCACATGTCAGGATGTTGTTATTTCAAACAGGTTTTGCTTATGTCTGGATTGCTCAGGATTGTGGAAACACGAAGGGTTTCATAACTATGTTTAAACAGAGATGTGTAGATATGGAGATACAGAAATGGTTTCAAAAGATAAACAGCTCACATTTCCTGTCACATTATAATTCATACAAGTCATTACTAGCGCCAGAGATGTATATCACATCGGGTGTTTTAGATAAAGACTTGATCTGTGCATTAGTTAAGTTCCGCACTCTTTCGCATAGTTTTAAAATACAAAAACTGCGTTATAGTAAAAATAATGCGAACACAAATGTTGACCAGCTGATGCTATACTTTGACCAGTGTGGTGAATTAGTTGTTGAGGACGAGTACCATTTTGTACTAGTCTCTTCATACTATAAGCAAAGTAGAAATACATTTATTCCACAATATTACCATAAATATCCTTCTTGTCAAAAATTAATTGAACTAATGTCCTCTACAACACATTCAACAATCAAAGGTCTTGCTCTGTACAAAAAGAGAAATTTGAAAAACACAAGAAACAAACAAACATAATTTTTGTATGTATTATGTATTACGTCACATATCATGGAAACATTGTAAGTCAACTGTGTGAGATCCACAAATAAATTAGATGTAAATGTATTGTACTCTGGGCCACGAGGCCTCCAATACTGAAATAAAGAATCTTGAATCTTGAGTGCACAAACTCCACCTCCACCTCCACATCAAGGGTTACAACAAACTACACACACTTTCAAAAACAAACGACAGACCCTGCGGTGAGCTCGCCATCTTACCTCGGGGATTGATGTCTGATTGGTCGAATCACAAGGCAAACCAATCAAGCATATCGCGTTCTCACATTTCAATCACTGACCTCCAATTTCGAGTTCACTGTAGTCCAAAATAACTGCATGTCACGTATCACTTTCATTACAGCATCCATTACGTATATATGCTCTTCAAGCGAAAATGGGGATACTCGGAAATAAGAGATATTAGTTTCTAGAAATACATTGTAGTTTAATGATGAAATGTAGTAATAATGAACGAAATGGGGACCCAATACAGCCCGGTAGTGAAGTGTGACAGTAAATGTTATGTCCGCCAACGATCTTGATGGGATATTTTAAAGTTGACTTTTTTTTATCAGTAGTGCGTATTACCGTCTCCCAATGGCAATTTGAGGGAGCCTGTCCAATTCGTCTTGCAGCGCCAGGCCAAGTTCAGTCAACATGGTCGGCAGACTATGACGTTGACGTACACGTCTCACGTACGTGCCCCAGACGTTTTCAATGGGGGAATAGTCTGGGCTCATTGCTGGCCATGGCGTTCTATGGATGTTGTGGTGCTGGAGGTGAACATTGACGATTCGCGCACGGTGAGTTGAGTCAGAATGTTGGTCCCGATAGTACTGTCCAGTGACCCTTCCTTGTTATTATTCACACTGGCGTATGTTTGGGGTGAATATAAATAATGTTCATAAATTGTATTCATAATGCGCCACATCCACACCCTAGAACATGAACGAATCACGAACAATCCTATCAACGTGAGTGAGTGAGTGAGTGAGTTTGGTTTAACGCCGCTTTTAACAGTATTACAGTTATATCGCGGCGTGTCAGCTTAATGTGGGAGGAAAGCCCTAAGTGATGCAGGTCTCAGGCGTTTACCACTTCGGTGAAACCCACGAGCACGGGTATGGTGCTGACAAACCTAGAACATGAACGAATCACGAACAATCCTATCAACGTGAGTGAGTGAGTGAGTGAGTTGGGTTTAACGCCGCTTTTAACATTATTCCAGTTATATCACGGCGTGTCAGCTTAATGTGGGAGGAAAGCCCGAAGTGATGCAGGTCTCAGACGTTTACCACTTCGGTGAAACCCACGAGCACGGGTATGGTGCTGACAAACCTAGAAACATAATTGGGGCGAACCCACAATCATAGGTTTCTGGCGTGCCCAAGGGACGCAACTCTGCACAGCGAATCGCGGCGCTTAGACGACTGGGCCACCCGTGCCCCCTTGAATAATTATGGAGTTGGTGGGTCATAGTGACGACAACCCACCATGGCCCTTCCACGGCAAAATCTGTCATGATGTCTCAGGTCGACATTGGTTTGACGTTCATTTCGACGTCGCCAGAAACGCCAACGCCTCTCAAGGCAATACATCGAAAAACATGACACGTGACCAGCGACGATAACCCCAGTTCCGTCATTGTGTACATCATTGACATCTGTTGGCAATATGGCGATTTGAAAGGGACAGGAAAACACATGGCCATTGAGCATGGAGATGAACATGAAACACGCCTGCATTCTTGACGATATCCCCTTCTTTCTTTTCTAATTATAGAATGTATCTAAGGAAATTATGATTTATGTATCTTTCAATGATGATTCGAGATATTTTCACGACTGGCGTAGAAATATCCTATTTATTATATACTTTTTGTGAAGTTGTCTGCAGGAAGATTAAATTATTTCATTGTAAATGTAAAACCTTCAAGCGTAAATTCTCCCTACATAACACACAGGGACGGTTTACCACTCCCTGTAAGTACGACTTGAAATGTAGTTCCGTCTTTGCTAAATCTTAAAACATATAAACAAAAGTAACCAAAAATATTTGATGTCACTAAAATTCTTTAGTATACATTCGGATATGTTTTATATACAAAATCAACTTCATCAAAAAATAAATTTCAAATCAATCAGACGCTGTTGGTCAGGCTTCAGATGGGAATAATTCGTAATGGAGTTTGTGTTCTTGTGACCTAAAGGGAGTACAGTTTGTCATTAATTTAGTTTAGCTGTATTAGATACTGTTATTATTCTTTGTAATATGACATTTTTGCTAAATGTCACCACAACTTGGTATAATTATCATGTGTACATATATACATTTTTATTATTATGATAGGAAAAAAATGTAATGTGAGCTTATGTTTTAATACATGTAATGTTTATATTTATCATGTTTATAGGGCCTTTTTTCCATTGAATGTACCTGATACTTCCATGATCTGATTAGGAGAAACACCTTCATCCACCAGTTTCTGTACAAGGTGCTTTCTCATGCTGAAAAGTAACACATTTAATTATCAATTATTATTTTCTTATCAATTATAATATTCTGGGAAGAAATAACTTAATATGGCAAGTTTTTATACATATTCAAATTATTAGCCATTTGATTAATGGTCAATGAAAGACAATGTACACACAATTTAAATGATTTTATTGCACATAACATTTTTGAATAGTGCTATTATTAGTATCACCTGTATGGTGTGATGCGTTTGTCTTGAGCAGGTTTGGCTCCATCCTTCATCTCATTCATTATGCTGTACAATTTATTTAAGCCCATTGCAGAGTTCTTGTACCAGGGTGAACCTACCTGTTCTCCATGGTTGATGGCGAGGAAAAAAGGACTGTCTTTTTGAAGCATTGAAGTAGGACGATTTTCCCGATACATCTAGTAGCAGGCCACTGCCACTGGATCCCTGTCAGATTTTCTGGAATGCTGTTTGCACGGGGCTTCCTGCGGATGTCGTTAGGATTGGCTTCAGTAGGTGTCTTGGACTGACGCTCTGAGGTAAATGTTAAATATCCCCCCCCCCCCCCCCCCCCCCACCCCCCTTCATCTTTCTTCCTAACAGGGATGAAGAACTTGCTGAGATAATCTTCAAGGACAGGTGGCTCAATCTCTTATATAGCCCTAACCTCACCTTCCTGCGCCAGAAACTGCTTTAAAAGATTCAGGTCGTACAAGGTTTTTTTCTTTGTGTTTTCATTTGCATGTTCTTCAAGATATTTATCTAAATCACCAGTACTTATCTTTGAAAATATGTGAGTCTTATTTAGCTGGACATACTGGATAGGTTCAATTTGTTCCTGGATAGGTTTTGTTTGTTGCTGGATAAGTTCTGTTTGTTCAAGAAATCTAAAGTCCCAATCTGCCAGGAAAACATCGATTTCACTCATTTTGAGTGTGTCCATGTTTTATTAGCAGAAGACACTTACGGTTAAGGGGAGATAATTTTCAGGGGAGGTAACTCGTGTAAGAAAATAGTTCCGTCAACGTGCTATGTTCACTGCAGTGAAATATCAAGTGTTATGTTCACTGCAATGAAAATATCACTTTTCTCAACTGCAGAAAACTCAGTCTTTCACACTGTAGTATGGAATGAAAGTGCAATAATCTTGGATGCGACGTTAAACTCAATTCGCCTCACCTCGCCTTAATCGCATATGACAGACACTATCAAATGTTTTCGAGAAATCTATAAATATACAACAAAATCTACCCTTACGCCTACAGATATATTTTCTCGACAAAGAACAAATTAAAATATTGATCTTTTGTTGAATAAGATTGACGAAAACCAGCTTCATATTCGGTTAAAATATTTTGGACATGTTCCCATTTCAAAAGCCTTGCATTTAACACGACTGTGAATAGTTTAGAAAAATCCTAAAATAAGACATTCCATGATAGTAATGTGACATAGCTGACCACGGCATGATTCAGAGACACAGCTGACTAGGGTGTAATTAAGACACACAGCTGACCAGGGTGTGATTCAGAGACACAGCTGACCAGGGTGTGATTCAGAGACACAGTTGACCAGGGTGTGATTCATAGACACAGCTGACCTGGGTGTGATTCAGAGACACAGCTGACCAGGGTGTGATTCATAGACACAGCTGACCAGGGTGTGATTCATAGACACAGCCGACCGGGATGTGATTCAGAGACACAGCCGACCAGGGCGTGATTCAGAGACATAGCCGACCGGGATGTGATTCAGAGACACAGCCGACCGGGATGTGATTCAGAGACACAGCCGACCAGGGTGTGATTTATAGACCCAGCTGACCAGGGTATGATTCAGAGACCCAGCTGACCAGGGTGTGATTCATAGACACAGCTGACCAGGGTGTGATTCATAGACACAGCTGACCAGGGTGTGATTCATAGACACAGCCGACCAGGGTGTGATTCATAGACACAGCTGACCAGGGTGTGATTCAGAGACATAACTGACCAGGGTGTGATTCAGAGACACAGCCGACCGGGATGTGATTCAGAGACACAGCCGACCAGGGTGTGATTTATAGACCCAGCTGACCAGGGTATGATTCAGAGACCCAGCTGACCAGGGTGTGATTCATAGACACAGCTGACCAGGGTGTGATTCATAGACACAGCTGACCAGGGTGTGATTCATAGACACAGCCGACCAGGGTGTGATTCATAGACACAGCTGACCAGGGTGTGATTCAGAGACATAACTGACCAGGGTGTGATTCAGAGACCCAGCTGACCAGGGTGTGATTCAGAGACACAGCTGACCGGGATGTGATTTATAGACACAGCTGACCAGGGTGTGATTCAGAGACACAGCTGACCAGGGTGTGATTCATAGACACAGCTGACCAGGGTGTGATTCAGAGACACAGCTGACCAGGGTGCGATTCAGAGACATAGCTGACCAGGGTGCGATTCAGGGACACAGCTGGCCAGGGTGTGATTCAGATACACAGCTGACCAGGGTGCGATTCAGAGACATAGCTGACCAGGGTGTGATTCAGATACACAGCTGACCAGGGTGTGATTCATAGACACAGCTGACCAGGGTGAGTTTTAGAGACATAGCTGACCAGGGTGTGATTCAGAGACACAGCCGACCGGGATGTGATTCAGATACACAGCTGACCAGGGTGTGATTCAGAGACCCAGCTGACCAGGGTGTGATTCAGATACACAGCTGGCCAGGGTGTGATTCAGAGACACAGCTGGCCAGGGTGTGATTCAGAGACACAGCTGGCCAGGGTGCGATTCAGAGACATAGCCTACCAGGGTGTGATTCAGATACACAGCTGACCAGGGTGTGATTCATAGACACAGTTGACCAGGGTGTGATTCAGATACACAGCTGACCAGGGTGTGATTTATAGACACAGCTGACCAGGGTGTGATTCATAGACACAGCCGACCGGGGTGTGATTCATAGACACAGCTGACCGGGGTGTGATTCATAGACACAGCTGACCAGGGTGCGATTCAGAGACATAGCTGACCGGGGTGTGATTCAGATACACAGCTGGCCAGGGTGTGATTCAGATACACAGCTGGCCAGGGTGTGATTCAGATACACAGCTGACCAGGGTGTGATTCAGAGACACAGCTGGCCAGGGTGTGATTCAGATACACAGCTGACCAGGGTGTGATTCAGATACACAGCTGACCAGGGTGTGATTCAGAGACCCAGCTGACCAGGGTGTGATTCAGTGACACAGCTGACCAGGATGTGATTCAGATACACAGCTGACCATGGTGTGATTCAGAGACATAGCTGACCAGGGTCAGTTTGGCGTTTCCACAAAATACACAACTCTTCCTATTTCGACAGAGTGAACGCAGTCGTTCAGTGGACACGAGATCTGTTTTTTTAAGGTTAAAGCATGCAACAACTCAAACCCCATCAGTTACATAATTTTATTGTTCATTTGATTTCAAGAATATGCAGTTATTAAAAACTAAAACTGAAATTCAAACATTTCAGCTGTACAGTATTTGCACCACTGCCAGCACACCATTCATTTTGGGCATATTCCTGAACAAACTATTTATTAAATCTTCCCACCCCTTCCATAGACATCAAATAGATGCTTCCGCATCAAGTGCTGGCATAACCGAAGCAGTTCTTTTAAAATCATAACATTCAACATTACTTCAAGTTTGGGGAAACGTGCGTACTTAAGGAAACGTTAAAACCAGGGATACTACGCCCCCAACAAGCGAAATAAGGCACTGAAAGAAAATTCCTACTTAAATGACAATTCTTGTGATCTTGGATAATACCTACTACCGCACAACTTTCAATCAGAAAGACCAACACTTTTACCTCGCTTAATAACCAAGTTACATGCAGTTCCAGTCTTATAATGAATGGTTTAGAAACCAGATGGTTATTTTCGTGTAGTAGGTCTTCAAGACAGGGAGTCCCATTTCTCTAGTGAATGTCATGAGGAAGTAATGTACACATCCCCAGTTGGATGATTGCTGTTTACTTGTAATTCCTGAATACATCAACCGCAACGGTTAATGAATACATCAACAGGCACGGTTCATGCATACATCAACCGCAACGGTTAATGAATACGTCAAAAGCCACGGTTAATGAATACGTCAACAGCCACTGTTCATGAATACATCAACCGCAACGGTTAATGAATACATCAACAGGCAGGGTTCATGAATACATCAACCGCCACGGTTCATGAACACGTCAACCGCCACGGTTCATGAATACGTCAACCGCCACGGTTCATGAATACATCAACAGCCACGGTTCATGAATACATCAACCGCCACGGTTCATGCATACATCAACCGCCAAGGTTCATGAATACATCAACAGCCACTGTTCATGAATACATCAACAGCCACGGTTCATGAATACATCAACAGAGGGGTTTCAGTGTCCATGATGCAGTGCGCGGTCGCCATGTTGGTTGTCAACCTAAACAAGCGCGACACGTAAACACGCCGGAGAATATTTTTCAACCTGCCGATATGCCTGTTTCGTGTGCGGTGGTAAATTGCAGCAATCGTGCAACAAGGACAAGAAGAGTTTTTTTCAGATTCCCAGCTGACGGTTAATGAATACATCAACAGCCACGGTTCATGAATACATCAACTGCCACGGATCGTGAATACATCAACAGCTACTGTTCGTGAATACGTCCTGAATAAATCTTGACCAACCCCTTTTTTTAAAAGAGGACCCTATGCTAGAGAGGGTATATCCTAAGCCTATTACAACAATTTACACATCTGACCTCATCTCATGACCTTGACATTTGACTTCATAACAAGTGACCTCAAAGGGTCATTAGGAAGATCCCCATTGAGGAATAACATTGCACAGTGGAGACGAGGCCAGCATCACGGGACTGCCAATCATGTTTCATATCACAACAGCTGCTAATATTGCACTGGAGTATCATTTCGTGAGTGAGTGAGTTTGATTTTACGCCGCTTTTAGCAATATTCCAGCAGTATCACGGCGGGGGACACCAGAAATGGGCTTCACACATTGTACCCAATCATTTCATGAAATAAATATAAGGGAACATCTGGTTAGAGTGTGGATAAATAATGTTCAAATTTAGAAAAAAAAAGAACTGTCTTTTTTCATGCCATCCCCATCCCCTATAATAAATGACCAGTCCCTAAGAAAGAAGATATATCAATCTGTAAATTTACATTGTCCATATCATCATAGTTATTGCTAATATTTAGTTAGCAGTAATTCATGTATAGAGGATATTTCATGTGTCGAGTGAAACATGATATTTCACGAGACACATGGAATATCCTATTTATTATATATACTTTTTGTGTAGTTACCGGAAAACTAAATTATTACATTACAAATGTAAAACCTTGAAACGTAAATTCTCCCTACCTAACACACAGGTGCGGTTCACCACCTTATGTATTAGCGACTAAAAAGTAGTCTAGTGTTTGCAAAATCATAAAAATATAAACAAAAGTAACAAAAGATATATAGGGTCACGAATATTCTCGATCATACATATAGATATGATTACATACAAAATCTACTTTAACAAAAAATATTCTTGAAAACTAGGATACCGCTGTTCGAAGCGAAAGAATACAAGCTGGTTAAGTAACAAAAAAGGCGCTTTGCGAAACGAACAGATTGACGAGTTAAATGAGAAATTTACAGTTTATAACGAAATATTTTCGAGATAGTAACAAACGGCATGAAGCGATATTAACTCAATAAATGACCATCTGCCATTAGTTTGCCATGTTAATGTGGAACTAACGTAAAAGGGACGCCAATAGTGTTTGTACAGGCCAGACACTTACGATAAAGGGAGACAATTTTCTTGGTGCTTGGAGGTAACTCTTGTATGGCAAGAGTTCCGTCAAAGTGTCATGTTCACTGCAGTGAAATATCTAATGTCATGTCTACTGCAATGAAAATATACCTTTTCTCAACTTCAGAAAAGTATATAATAAGTTCAGTTACTTTGGCAGGGGTTAATACTTCTTGTAATCTTCTGCAAAATACATCGGAAGGATAACATCTAACCTCATTTGTCTGCATATATCACTGATACATTGGATTCTGAGAGCAACAAGTTGCCTCCATTGCGTAGATAATGAGAACACCATGCACGTAAGCACGCATGTATATGAACACAATCAGACATGAAATGTCCTTGATACGAATGAGTGAGTGAGTTTGGTTTAACGCCGCTTTTAACAGTATTCCAGTTATATCGCGGCGTGTCAGCTTAATGTGGGAGGAAAGCCCGAAGTGATGCAGGTCTCAGACGTTTACCACTTCGGTGAAACCCACGAGCACGGGTATGGTGCTGACAAACCTAGAAACATAATCGGGGCGAACCGGGATTCAAACCCACAAACATAGGTTTCTGGCGTACCCAAGGGATGCAAATCTGCACAGCGAATCGCGGCGCCTTAGACGACTGGGCCACCCGTGCCCCCGACTTGATACGAACACACATACACCAGGCATCATCATCGGGTCACCGAGTCCCCTCCACATATCACACAGACTTGTAAATGCTAATCTCAACTTCCGATACGTTTCCACGTAATGTTTTGGCGTCACCGTCTTACTCTTGTCCTCAACTAATGGCCAACTTTCTGACTCTGGGAATGTCAGCAGTACCAGCAATACTTCCAAACCCGTTAATCCGGACGGTACTTTTTCCAGTGAAATCATCCGGAGCAGACAATTCCGGATAAACGAGTCATTTTATGGAGCATTGAACAATATATGTATTGTATCCAGCTATCGGTCAGAAAGGGCTTCTGGATTAACGGGGGTACACTGTTTATGACATAGGCGTTCTGAATCAGTTAATGGAATGTTTACATAATGAACGATTGAACTGTTCTGTGTAAATCGCAAGGCACGTTAAGATAAGAACATCAGATGAAACATCCACCAGGCTTTGTACTACACCATGAAGTAACAAGGGTATCAAAAGTTACTTGATCACTTACATTCTACCAGAGACCAAAAGTACTCGCGTGGGCTTCAATACCAGAGTACTACATTGCACAGTTTGCGTAAAGTTTCACGCCGATTTAAGATGGTTTTCACGTCTTAATAAGTAAAATCGAAACAGGTCTTCGCCGCTTAACCACCAGGCTAAACGTTTCGTGACAAGATTACCTCGAAGTAAACACTGAATGGAGATATCCGTGTTTGATATGGCAGGACCGACTGTCAGGATCAGTCTTCCGGGTAATAGTTGCATGGATTTCGCCTGTAAGATATGTGTTGTATCAAAGTTCCCTTGAGAATGATTTCGTCAAAGTTCCCTGTAGCACTGGTAGCCGAGATAGTACCAGCAACTTCCCCACACGTCCCAGACGTAGGGTTGGATGTTTACCGTCAGTTTGAGTTTAACACGTTCCGCCTTTGTGGACATCGCAAACAGAACCTGCTGGTCCGAGTTGCTCAGCTTCAAGTCCAAGTAATGCTCCACTGCCCTTCTGTATTCCTTCACAAACTGGCGAAACACACCTCTCTCGGCGACGACAAGGCCCCCTCCCACCCACACGTACATGTTTTTAAAAATGTCTTCTGGCAGTTCCTCCATGGAATAGTCTAGATTAACTTGATTGAACGCTATTTTTTTCTCGTCAAAGTCTCGTGGAAGTGTTAACCGGAAGTCCCTCTTCCTGCTTGTGATTAACCGGAAGTAACCCACATCCACCCACATGTAATATTTGGTATGGAAGACGTCACTCTCTATGGCTTTCTCAACACAGGCGTACTTTGCATTCTGAACACAGGGGTATTCTGGAACAACTGTATTTGGCTGGTATTTCGGATAGTTCGGGTTAGAATAAATGTCACGGACTTTGTCCAAATGGTCAAAAGCCCACAACTGGTTCTTTTCAATCTTGATGATTTTTGTGATGTTCATCAGGTGTTGTCGCATGTCGGTGAACAGTCTGACAAACTGGTCCGAGTCCGTGTATACAACCAGTGGGTTCATGAGATGCTTGTACACCGTGGCCCACTCCAGATACAGCGTGGGGCCGAAGACGGTCCCCCCGTCCCCTTTGTTGAAACGGCCGAGATTGAGGTAGGCGGTTACTACTGTGATATCGGGTGGTACTCGTACATCTCCGTCAAATGACGGAAATGTCCGGAGAGGGACGAAGCCAAGTATGCATGGCGGTTGCTGCAAGAAAAATAATATAACATAATCTTATTTCGTGAAAGTAACCTTGCTTAAATCCATAAAATTTATAACCAGAATTATTCAGATGAGATTTTGTATCGATATTAGATACAAGACATGTTTTTTTTAAAAACTATGAGCCTGAATTTATATTTGAGAAAAAACCCTTCGCACCAATGTCATTTTTGTGGTCACTTTAAAAAGATTTTAAAGATCTGTTTTTAAGATCGTTAAACAGCATGGTAGCATGATAACACAAGTGCGAGGAGTTCAACATCGTTTTGAACCACATAACAGTCACAATATGACGAACAGGAAGAATTTCCGGGCTCTTAGCATATAAGAATAAGTATTAAAGCTTGTTCAATGCGAGCAGAACGTTAATCTTGCCTTGACCATACAAACCGATAGTTTGAGCACCAGATCACAAATGAGAGTTAATGGATGCCTCCATCCATCCAAGTACGATTCACTCTCAGCAGTCACATCGACCGATCAGTCCCCCCTGGGTTGTTCCAACGCCTTCCCTACGCTGTAGGTCGGATTCTTACGTGCGTTGATAATTTATACTTACTACTGAGAACTTGACACACACGATGGCGAGAAGACAGCCGACGAAGATCTTCAAACAGCGTCGCCAGTTGTGCTTAATGGTCATAATGTTTCCAAATTCCGACATCCCACTGAAAACACAACACAAATATATACAACCATATACCTGTAGTGTTAAGCGCTTGAACGGCATTGTAGTCGGCTCTATCACAGCTAATTTGGATGGACTGATCCGTCATAAACACTTGCAAAGGCAAGTAAATTGTTCAACTGACAACACACGGAAACATATGGCACAAGTCGATAAAGGGAATTGCATCGGACATAATTTTTGTCACTGATATCAGGGGGTTCAGGTGGTTATGGGGGGTGGGCTTGCCCCCAGCACAAATCCTTGTAATAAACGTTTTCGTGAGTAAATGTCATGTTCAGTTAATGAAAAACACATGTCTGTTGAAGTGTGGCCCTGATGGATGTAAATGGACGAGGGTGCAACACGCAATTATGTTTATGAATTGCTTTGATATTCAATCCTACTAAACAATACAAACGCAATCAGGGTAATGTTTTCCGCTTATTTTACACTTTATCACCTTACGTCTCAAATGACCACGATAGCATCCAACAAATATGGTCGACAGGTATCCGATATAATGCAAGTGTACTCTGTTTGCAATCCGGAAGTACAATTAAGCTCAGTCAAAACATCACTGAAATACCTTGTAACAAATGGCAAATTGATGACAAATACTCGCTTCCGAACTCGGCCCCTCAAACACATGCATAAAATCAAAGACACCGTCAGGCTTTGGAGACTAGCACTCAATCGATCACATTACACAATTACATTTTGACCCTTCTTTGACTGAGAAATTATATTCCAGACGGGTTATCGCAGAACACATACATATATCATGCTTCTTTCGAGGAGTCAGATGGCGACTATTTTCAGACGCCTATTAGTCAAAATGTTGACATTGTTGAGAGCTGTCGGCAATGGAAAATAAAAGCGCCGTATTATACCTCACCTCACCTCATTAAACTCACCTGTTCTCAACAAACTTCCAAAATGAATACTATTAATATACGGCATTAAAACAAATAGGTTCGTTCCAGGAAATCGCTGTGTAAGCAAGACATGTGTCGTTTCCATGGCTACGGATGAAGCCAAAAGCTTTATTGCAGAAATCGAGATTGTGAATTGTTCTGGGGGATATAAAAAATCCACAATCAATAACTACTTTCATATGGCGAAAAATGTCACGTTGCTAAAACAAGTCCTCGCGCACACTTGAACAAATACTGAATAAATAATATCTCGTTCGTTTCTGTAGCAACTGCAGTTAAGAGCACGTACGTTTTGACAGTGTCGCAGTACTCCAGCATATTGCTGAAATATTGCTGAAAGTGGCGTAAAACCATACTCATAAACAGGCTTCCTCTTGAATACAACACCTTGTGCCCAATTGCCTAGACTTATGCTCATGCTATCAATCACTGGATTGTCTCGATTATGTTCAGACCGCCGTCGTATAGCTGGAATATTGCTGAGTGCGGCGTTAAACAACAAACAAACAAACAAAACAACACCTTCTGGCATCACAGACTTTCAGTGATACATTCATACAATTTTCACCGCTATTTTGCAAGAGTCAACAGTTGTCAAAAGTTTCTATCAGGAGACTGGGGACGTTACCGGTGTCCACATTAAATAATGCATGGTTCGGATGTTTTTATTTGAAATAAAGGGTACATGGAAATCGGTAGGTCCCAAGTCTTCCGTTTGTTTGTTATTTAAAGCCGCACTCGGCAATATTCAAGCTATGTGACGGCGGTCTGTAAACAATCGAGTCTGGACCAGACAATCCAGTGATTGTCATCATGAGCATCGAGCAAAACCCAAATTTTGAAAATCATCTGTTTCTTCCCCAAAACATGTACATGCCGATGACAGGGCATACCAAGAGAAGAACCGAGTCAACTACGTGATTCACTTTCTGTAGGAGATGAGTTTCACTATCAGATGTGAAGCCCTTCTCCAACAAAAAATACTACTCGTGGCCCAATATTTTTAAACTCTGTAGACCTGTGTCACCCAAAATGTAAAAAAATATAAGATTTTTTCCTGACATGTATGTCCATGTAAGTTAATTATAAAGAACCTCTGATCTTGTCACTCGTCATGTTGATATGTTTGGATTTTCATAAATATTTGGATTTTCATTAATATATACACGGACTTTGACGAGTGAGTGAGGTTTTACGCCGCTTATAGCAATATTCCAGCAATATCACGGCGGGGAACACCAGAAATGGGCTTCACACATTGTACCCAAGTTGGGCTATCGAACTCGGGTCTTCGGTGAACTTTAACGGCATCATTCTCCAGGAAACTTCCATACATCACATAACTTATAGCCGACATACATGCAACTGTAACCCGGAAGACTGATTCTAACAGTCGGTTCTGCCATATCGAACACGGATGTGTCGATTCAGTGTTTACTTCGAGGTGACCACGTCACGAAGTTCGGGTTCGATTCTTGTTTGTTTGTTTGTTGTTTAACGGCAGTCATTGACATCGTGAGCATCGATCGACGCACTTGGGACCGATGACATGTATCAACCAAATCAGCGTGCCTGACCACCCGATCCCGTTAGTCGCCTCTCACAAGAACAGTCGCCTGTTACGGCAAGCATGGGTTGCTGATGACCAATTCTAACCCGGATCTTCACGGGTCGGTTTCGATTCTACGTATTATACATAATATTATCGTGGTACGTGTGATTTGATAAGGATGGGTGATAAATAGCTGTAGATACAGATATATTACAGGCATTAACGTCTAAACTTTGCCTTACTCTAACAATTGATACTGGTCCTGTCCCATGTGCGTTATCGGTTTGACCCTTGGCAGATTAAAGATACAGGGCCCACTTGCACAAAGCGATCTTAGGCCTAAGACTATCGTATGCCTATGTTAACATATGTGAGTTACGATCATCGTGGGTCCTGGGCCCACTTGCACAAAACGATCTTAGCGCTAAGATTATTGTAAGCCTATGTTAAAGTATGGGAGTTAAGATCAGCTTAGCGCTATGATCGCTTTGTGCAAGTGGGCCCAGGTCTGTTAGTTGTAATGTTCCCTTATTTGACAATTTCCTTCTGAATATGCGGCATGTAACGTGATACACGCTAATTGCCCTTTCTTTTATACTGGTATGTTATATGCGTATCGGCAGCTGACGAAAGGCTTTGTCTCGCATACAATGGATCTTGCAAAACAAAGCATTTGGTTATAGGTGTTACTATAACTACTCCTTTCCAATGAAACTTGCACTGTGTTTTATATCCTTGATCCACAACCATGCTCTGTATTACTTACTACGTATTATGTTTTACGTAAGTGAAAAATGTCTACTGTGCATTCCAAAAATAATCATAAAATTATATCCATAAATAAATGTTCTGTTTTATAAAAAATACCTATCCAGAGTCACTTTTAAACAGTGATAAATGAACCTGTGATAAATAAATCTGGAATAGACAATACCTCAACTAAATCCCTATTGCTTAGGGGGGCACGGGTGGACAGGCGTCGAAGGCGCCGTGATTCGCTGTGCAGAGTTGCGTCCCTTGGGCACACCAGAAACCTATTATTGTGGGTTTGAATCCCGGTCCGCCCCAATTATGTTTCTAGGTTTGTCAGCACCACACCCGTGCTCGTGGGTTTCACCGAAGTGGTAAACGTCTGAGACCTGTATCACTTCGGGCTTTCCTCCTACATTAAGCTGACACGCCGTGATATAACTGGAATACTGTTAAAAGCGGCGTTAAACCCAACTCACTCACTTAATGGATTATCACGGCTTTCTGATCCTTATACCTTAACAATAGCGACTGTCGCTGTGGGACCACCTCGTTGGCTTGTTGGCATGGTAGCGGTGATCAGTGGGATATTTGATGCTGGCCTTGAAAGCTCCATAATGACTCATAATTCATGAAGCTAACTCTGGTTAGAATTACATGCGTGGTCTCCATCAACCTATGCTTGTCGTATATATGCGGCGACTAACGGGATCGCTGACTTGGTTAAAGTATGTCATCGTATCCCTATTGCGTGGATGCTCAATCGCTGCATTGTCTGATCTAGAATCGTGTATTTACAGACCGCAGTCATACAGCTGGAATGTGGCTACACAAACCAATGATTGATATTATGAGCATTGGTAGCCATCGGTGGACTAAAAATACTTGGACCAGGTAAACCGCCCAGTGCTTGGAAGCGTTAGTGAAAGTGAATAGGTGAGTTGGGTTTATCTCAGTATTCCATTCATATCACGCCGTGTCAGCTTGATGTTGGAGGAAAGCCCGAAGTGACGAAGGTCTCCGACGGTTAACACTTTGGTGAAACCCACGAGGCCGGGAGTGATGCTGACATCCTAGAAACATAATCAGGGCATACAGGACCTCACCCCAACATTACTGGGGTTTTCTGGACGCCTAAGGGACACAACTCTGCACAGCGAATAGCGGCGCCTTAGACGACTGGGTCACGAAGTCAAAGATCCATTTATTACATTAACAAGTTCTTAAAACAGTATGCCTCGTGCACATTGTATGCACCTCCATGCATATTCACGTATCTGTTTTAACTGAAAAACTGATTTTTTTAAAAGTTTCCCATCTCCAACCCCAACCAGCAAGAGAGCGGTCGGGCGAAAAAGAATAAACAAAAACAATGTTGTTGCAATCCCCACCAGCTATGACAGGTTAACTGTCGTCATATGAAAGAAGCGGATGTTTTTTTAAAGTTCTTTCGAGTAGTATACTGTCAGAATAATTTACTGTAGTTATAGGGACACCTAAGCATTGTTAAACATCGCTTGATCTTAGTCCAAGATGACGCATATGTAAATATCTGTCCGGGGTAGAATAGGTCTTCAGCAACCCATGCTTGTCGTAAGAGGCGACTAACGGGATCGGGTGGTCAGACTCGCCGACTTGGTTGATGCATGTCATCGTATCCCAACTGCGTGGATCGATGCTCATGATGTCAAGCAGTGGATTGTTTGGCCCAGACTCGATAACGTCGACTGGATTGTCTGGTCCAGACTCGAGACGTAAATAATGCGAAATCGCATTAAAGCGATGCATACATCACCCACAACCACACACACATAATGCGTTGGCAAAGTGTCAAGATAATGTAGATGATCGGTCCGTCATTTGTCAAGAGTAATCCAGCAAAACACGGAACCAACGTGAATGTTCAACACACGAGCTGAAATGCAGATACACAGACATATATGGATTGTATACATCGTTTGTGAGCCTTGTGAAATGTATACCGTGCCCCCCCCCCCCCCCCCCCCCCACAACACACACACACACCGTCTCGTGTCGAGAGGACCACATAGTAAATCAAGCACAGCTGTCACAGCACGACCTACCTACCTCAATGGTTCATCATGTAGCCTGTAATTCTCACAGATCAGCTTGGTGAAAGTCTAAATTTCAGACGGAAACACTCCCCAGCGACACGTTCGACGCGATCCCTCATTCTCTCGCATCCTGATCCACAGTCACGTGGTCCGTTACCATCACAAAGTGACCAGATGTCCATCTTGTGTTACATGCTCCCGAACACTGATTAGAGCCGAATGACAAACACTCCCGGACAGATGGGAGCTGACCTGGTAACGATTGGTCATCTCAACTAAATGTAGTGTACTGTATACCGGAGTTCTGAACTGGTCAACCAGATCGCACTGTCCCCAGGGAAAACACCGACAGCAGAGTGATGGGCGCCCGTACTCGCCCACAGCAGAGGAGCGATGTGACCGGTGTGTAGGGTGTGTGCATACCCCGACGATTTGCGCGATATCGGGCGAGATATCAAGACACATACGGAGGTTTTCCGGCATCCATTGGATATGCATACGCATGAAATTGTCTCTGCATAAACTCACCCTAATCCTATCACACTTGTACGTCTCGGGATCAATAAACCTAGGCAGGACGTGAAGACGGTTTTGTATTACAGGACTGGGTTTGTTGGCGGTGAACGCGAGACGCCAGATTGGGTTGACTACTCCACGGTGGATCGCCTCTCTCCAACGCGGATGTATATTGATTTTGCAGCACAATGTGTAGCGCACCAGGTCCTTTAGAGTTAGATGTCAGTAAATGGGGGACATGTAACACACGGCGATATACATCATGAGTAAGATCTCAGGCGTGACGAACTAATTATTCATTCTTCGAAACTAACAATGAACAAATAATAAAAATGTGTTCTCTGCATTGCAGCGGTAAAAAAAACTAACATTTAAAGTCCACGAGTCCTCATAATGATAGCACACAGCAAAACCTTTAAAAATGGCAAATTTCTACTGGTCCTTATGATACATTAACTATTGGGCATGCAGTTTGGAAAGGACTACGGGATTAGTGCCAATTCCTAACACTGCACTGGTGTCGCAAAAGGTGCCTTAAAGGGCAAGTTCACACGGAAATGAACCAATTTTTCTTGTACTTTTTCCACATTAAAAGTGTTAACATAGAAGTGTCATAGACAAAAATATAAAAACATCAAATTTAATTAACATATTTTTTGCATTTAAACGATTTATATTTTTCACATTTACCAAGTGTTCTATTTCCATAACAAAAACACCATGGCTTATGCCCCTTGCAATATGACGTCATTGGTGCCAATTGATAAACATTATGACGTCATCATGCTTTGTTAGAGCCGCTTCACGTGGTGTAGGTACAGTTTTGTGATTCTAGCGTCTCAGATGCCAGCCAGAATTGTGTTATGTTGAGTCACCACTGCGCCGGAATGTGTCGTAGACCATGTTGTTTTACCGCAAACTGGTCCTTGATATCTTTTGCGTTGAGAATAGACAGGGACCCAGTTGAATTGGCACCAATTACGTCATAATCTAAGGGGGATAACTCAGGCCTATTTCGCTCGTAAAACGAAGGCTTCATAACGGCATATCATTTTAACACTATTGTGAGCTTCCTACTTTCACTGTGAAAAAAAATGAGTGTATATTTTCAAACACAGATACTAACTAATTCTAAAATTGCGTTTTGTTTAGAAAAAGAAAGAAAGTGATTTTTGCGTGTACACTTCCCCTTTAACTGTGTATTGGGTGACAAATAAGGCAGTCACTAGAGTTGTTTGTTTGCTTCTTTGAACAGTGTACGGTCATTATACACTGAACAAACAAAACAGTTAAGGAAGTAGTACAGGTAATGGGGGTTCTGGCTCACTTCAACTGGAGCCAGATTTATATACCCATACTGCTACTACAGATGGAATTTTTTATGCAAAAATGACGATGCGATTTAACGATAGTCATGAGACGTATTACAAGAAACATCAATATTAATTAATAATGGATAAAATTTACTATAGCCCACGAGGATATTGGAAAGGTATAGGAGCAATACAAAAATTAGCCACCGCGGCTAAGGTATCTAAAGATGTGGCCAAGGATTGGTTAAAGAAACAAGCGATGTGGCAAATATACTTACCAGCACCGCGTTATATACCGAGGAAGAAGTTTGATATTTTTACAACGAATGAAGTTCATCAGGCTGACCTCTTGTTTCTTCCCCACGATAAGGTAAAACGCAAAACGTATAAATACGCTTTAACCGTAGTGGATGTGGCTAGTCGATACAAAGAGGCTGAACCATTAAACTCGAAAGATTCAACAGAAGTAGCTAATGCACTGAGTCGCATATATAAACGCGGACCATTAAAATGGCCTAAGCTATTTCAAGTAGATCCTGGTCGCGAGTTTATGGGATCGGTGACTAAACTGTTAACAACTCACGATGTCGAAATCAGGCGTGGTGAAAAAGAGGCCCACCGCAGTCAAGCTATCGTTGAAAGATTTAACCGGACATTAGCGGAACGTTTGTTTGGCTATCAGTATGGGATCGAAATGAAATCGGAACGATTGAGATCAAGCGAATGGGTGACACGATTATCAGCTGTTGTATCAGCGCTGAATAATGAAGTAACGAGATTAATCGGGAAGAAACCATCCGATGTGATTAAAATGAAATCCGTGACTTCCGAATCTTCAGCATCGAGGAGAGGCAAAGAACAAAAACTTCCAGTAAGCGTAAGATATTTATACCAGCCCGGTGAACTCGAAGGAGGCCTACATGTACGTCGCGCAACCGATCCGATTTGGTCCCTTAAGACATATAACATTAGTCGATTGGTTATGAAAGAAGGAGAGCCTATTCTTTATTATCTTAAAGATGGACCGGGCAGGGCATTTGTACGAGAAGAGTTGCTCATAGTTCAAGACGATACAGTATTACCGCCCTAAACAACCATAAGCATAGGTAGTTACACCATCCTTATCAATCCACCTCTTTGTATCTAAGGGGGATAATGATGTCTTGTTAATTCTTAATCCATATATCCTGTGATTGTAACTTCTTAAAGAGTTCATCTCGTGTTTGAATGTTCTACCGTTGAATAATGCTTCTTAATACTGTTCGTGTTTGATATGCTTTTTTACCACATACTTCTTAACACCCTTAGCTTTTCTTATCTCTCCATTATCGGACTTCTTTATAGAATACATCTTAGGTCTAAATCCGACATACTCCGCTATAGGGGTCCCAGCACATTCATCCTTCATCTTACCCAACACCTTTTTATTTACTACTCTGTGCAGTGGATTATCTTTTGGGTAATCGCTCGTGTCATACATATCTTTTTTTTCTGCCATATCTTTATACACATCCTCGGTTTGTATTTCCATCAACAAAGAATCTGTGTCGGTATATAACACCTCGCATCTATCGCCGTATTGCTTCTTAAGTTCGTTGTAATAAAAGTCATACATTAAGTGTTTTGACAAGTCGAGAATACTCATACCGACGTACACCGGTCTGTTGAATTTTATATTACTCTTCTGCATATGCAACGCGGCCAAGTCGTTATCGAATATCTTACTTCTGTTAAAAGCCGGACTGGCTATAAGTTTCCTGAGTCTTTTTCCTCATTAGATCTGACTAATTTAACATCAACACGCTTCCTTAGATTCTCCATAGTTTTACCAAATACTGAGTTATTCATGAGCTTATATAGATTCTTTTCAAAATCGCTGGTAGCCATCTTTCTTAAAACTGTGTTCAGTCTTATATAGGGCTCCATCCAAGGGCTTTGATCAAACTTTAGAAATCTATGTATTTTCTTTAGTTTCATACCTAACGATAGATATAACTGGAGATTTCTGTAGTGAACTATATATTTTGACTTATCCATCAAATTTGGTACGAGTTTTTCTACGTTAGCTAACCTAGTATCACCCATCAAGGAGTGTTGATATTCCGACATCCATTCTTTATTAACCATTAATCTTTCTGGAGCTAGCGGATAACTGTTATGATCTTTATGTAAGGAATTTGGATATTCCAAGTCAACTTCTAGTATTTATCCTTTATTCACATTGATATTATGGATATCATTCACATCGACCCACTCAAAACCACCCGTGGGTAAAGGTTGACTCATAGCCCATCCGTACAAATTGTTGGCGTCGAGATATAATATGTGCGTGTCGGGTTTACTCAGATCATATCCTTCCACTAATTTATTATTAGCCTTAGAATACCTTTTCGCTACTATCAATATACCACCTCTTAATCCTTTCTCAATAAACAAGTGCATATCGTAATCGGTGTGTAGTTTTAGTTCCACACCGGTCTTCTTCAACAATGCATCCCACGATAGTCCGGGACTGGAATAGTACCATGCCGGATCCAAGCCGTATTGTTTTAAACATGTCTTTCGAAATATCTCGAATATATCGGCGAGTAACAGTACATCGGTTTTTAAGTACAGATGGTGATAATCGCCTAAATTCTTACAACCTAATTTATCCCACACCGTCAGAGCGTGTTCATAATCGGCATCTGTTATTTTAGATTCTGTTAAGTTACTATAGAATGATTCAAGAGGTGGTAATTTAGTTTCGTCGAATCTAGACCAATCATCCATATATTCGTAAGGATATACACCTTTTCTCAGCAACAAATGAGTGAGTGAGTGAGTGAGTGAGTTTGGTTTAACGCCGCTTTTAACAGTATTCCAGTTATATCGCGGCGTGTCAGCTTAATGTGGGAGGAAAGCCCGAAGTGATGCAGGTCTCAGACGTTTACCACTTCGGTGAAACCCACGAGCACGGGTATGGTGCTGACAAACCTAGAAACATAATCGGGGCGAACCGGGATTCGAACCCACAATCATAGGTTTCTGGCGTGCCTAAGGGACGCAACTCTGCACAGCGAATCGCGGCGCCTTAGACGACTGGGCCACCCGTGCCCCAGCAACAAATGACGGCACCGATCAGTATATTGATTTGTTATCGCATGGTCATCGGGATTGTTCGCATTAGCTAAATTGTCCAGGGAAGATAACAGAAACTGTACGGAGTCTATGAATCTAAGTTCATTACTTTGCTTTATTCTGTCTTTCCCATCCTTGTCCGTATAATGTATAGTTTTAGTCAACGAGAACGATATATATATTTTTCCATATTATTAGGAATACACGTTAAGCCACCATCGGTCTTTGAGACAGCTTGCATAATGAGATGAGAATCGTATCCTCTAAGGTTATGAAACACAACGGGGATGGGTATTGTTTGAGAATTCATTTTTAGTTACACTCGGTATGCGCGGCTTCCCGATAATTACCCGTGACGTGGCAATGATCTCTTACGGGATCCCCATTCAGGGGTTTATCACAAACATGACAACTCGTTGACTTCTTATAGGCCCTCCAATCATCCCTCGTCATACACATGGGTTTCTTACGCGATAAATTTTCCCTGATTATTCTCTCTTCATTTTGTGGATATTCTAGGAACTTTCCCGCTGCATCGGGACCTCTGTAAATCACGGGCGGGTTTGTTTTCCAATCATACATTACAACTGAAACAGAGTTAGTTTTTACACTAAAACTGATAAAAACCTAGA